TATAAAAATCACAGTTTACTCCGATTCCTGGCCACTGTTGTGCAAGCTGTGGAGTCATGTTACTGGGCTTCTTAATGGTTTCTGTTTGATATGTGATAGTTTAAGTCTGTTGACATCCTTAGGGATGGTGAGTCTTTGCTTAAAGTCAAAGCATGAGGGAAGTAGGTACAGAAAGATGGGAAGAGGTTTTGGGGAACAGCGTTAACCAAACAGCTCACAGGCTTTAGTTAAAGATAAGATTCCCTCTCTGTTCTCAAGTGTTTATTACCGGGCATGCTCAGTAAGACACCATAAAATTGAATGGAATGGATTTTACCTTTCACCCTAAACTCTGGTTTGTGATTTCTATTCTGTAACATGCTTTATTCTAAGGGAATGGTTAGCAGACATTTTAGGTCATGATCTCCAATCTCTTCTAAAGAGTGACATCTATTCATTGCTTCCTTTTTTGGGCAGCAGAAATAACCAACAAAACCATACATAGGTCTGTTTGCTCATCCTTTCATTCATACACTCAAAGAATACATTTACTGAGCACTTGTTATGTGCCCCCACTCTAGGTTCTGGGGATAGAGCAGTGTCCAAAATAAATTTTTTTAAAAAAGTTCCTGTAGAGATCTTACATCCCAGTGGGTGTTAATCATGGACGTTAAATACAATGAGGATTAGTGCTAAGGAGTAAAGAGAAAAACAGAGTTGTGAAGGAGGGAGAAGACCTTTTAGAGCAGGACAGTTGCCGTTCTTTATAGAGTGGCCAGGGAAGCTGCACTGAGAAGGTAACATTGAAGATGAGCCTTTACTCTGACGCTCCCAGTTATGTATTCAGTTAATAGTTGGTGCTGGGGCAGAGAAAACCCTAAATCTGACATGCTGTGCCTACTCATGGACTAACTCTAAGATGGTTAAGCATTTAGGAGTTAAAGCTGTTCCTCTACCATCAGAGTGCTGGCTGCTTGTGGTCTGAAGGACTTTTGTGAAGTCGCTATGGAGGTCATGGTGGCTCATGTCCATCTGAGACATCTGCCCTTCTTGCAAAGCTTGCATCTTGCCAGTCAGTACTGTGGCTCTGTCATGGCCCTAGAGTCCCAGCCATTCTTGACAGGACCACTAACCAATGGGCAGGGACCCGTTGGAAGGACTCGTGGGAGGAGTCTGGAGTCTCTTGTCCAGGGCCTTTGCTGCTGCATGTCTGTTAACCAGGAAGCTGGCCTGTGCTTGCCTTCTATAGGAAGTTCTCAACAGAAATGACGGTAAGGTTTGCCGCTTCGTTTCTCTTCCTTTAAAATGTTTTTGGAAATTGATTTTATCTTTGTACCTAAGCATCTCTGATTTAAAGGACCCCATTTATGAGAGCAGGAAGCACTTTGAGAAGATGCCAAGCATTGCTTAGACCCAAATTACCTGCTGCCTATGGGTACCTGAAATTTATGACTATATGTGTCCAGTCAGTCTTCCCTCTGCCAGAATGTAAGCTACTGGGGAGCAAGAAGCTTATTTTAGCTACCACTGTCACGCCAGTGCTACAAAAACAAAAATAATGTCAGCCATGCAGAAGATGCTCAGTAAGTATTTGTTTACCTGAGTAACTAACAGACTACAAGCAATGTGGTAACGAGCAACCAACCATCAAGTCCATGATAGTATCTCATGAATTATCTGTTGCCCTAAAGATCAAGAAGTGGAGATGCTGACCTATTACTAGGGCCTGGACTTTGTTTGCAACCACTGCTCTCTCTTCTTTGTCAATCTGCCTTTCAGCGAAACGCATGCTCTTTAATGAGTATCCAGTCCAGCTTGTTATTCTTCCTCTGCCATCTTCCACTACCCAGCTGTGACCCTGGATGCAGCCTTGAATCTCCAGAGGTCTATTCGAGCTCCAAAATGTTCTCATTTTATAGCCTGGCAAAGCCTGCACCTACTGGTTATTCGTATGAATGAATCAAGAACACTTTTCTAGAAGGAAGTGGAGCATGTATCTGTTCTGAGAATTACTTTTTATAAATAGGAATCTGTTTATGCTCAATGAAATTAAGTCAGTTCCTTGTCTGGGAGGCTCATACATAACGTTATTCATTCCCTTTGAACTATTGACTTTAATCTCTTTATAAAAACACAGGGATCTCTGTTACTTACCTTTTGTTTGAGGCTGTGTGTTTTTCATGTGACTTCACATCTGTAATCATCTCCTACACACTAAAACAGACATGACATGTAGAGAATTGAGAGTAAAATATGACTTATATAGCTTCATTGTCTTGGAAATAATGAGGTTATCATGAGCTATAGACACAGAACTAGGAACTAGTAAGAGAAAATATTTACAAAAGAAAGTCCACAAAAAGCAACATGAACAAAGATGTTCATTGTTATATATTTTATAATAGGGAAAAACTGAAAATAAATTTCCATCAGTAGGAGTCTTGCTAAGTAAATTATGATAGGTCTACAATAGAAAATGGTAAAATAGTTTGGAAGAATGTTATACACCCTTATACATATTGTTGAGAGAAAAAGAAGGTATGTTGTAGAATATGTCCAGTTTGATGCCATGTGTGTGCACAAAAAAGAAAACATATATTCTGATCTGACATGCACATATTAATTCATAGAAATAGATCCCAGGAGGAAAGATAATTAACAATATTATTTCTAGGAATGTAGTGGGATTGGTGGGGCTTAGTGCAATGAGAGTGCTTCACTTTTTACTCTAAGCTTCTGTGTTTTGGCATTTTATAAAAACACAGTCATGGTTTCCTTTTGTAATAACACCCAAAATATTGGAGAGAAAAAAATGTGTAGCAGAGAAATTGGGACACAAGGTGAGGTTTGAGGCCTGGGGAAGGAAGATGAGACCTGCCAGGGTAGCGCATTCTGGCTGCTCGCCACGTCCTGGGAGAGCTTGTGCAAAGTGATTGGGAGCTCGTGCGGTGTCTTCAGGCTGGCATCCATCCATCTGTCATCTGTTACCTACCACTCAATCTATCATCTATCATCTCTCTCTCCTTCTCATCTACCTATCTACCTAGCTGTCTGTATCACTTCAAAATGAATGATCTATGATGGAAGGCCCACAAATCAAGAAAACCCAAGAATTTTTCCTATAGTTTTTGCATGTACCTTCTTTTGGTCTCTTTGTAAACTTTGGGTGAGAAAAGTTTCATACCTTTAGGAAACATGGATTCATGTATGAATAATTCTGCCACAGTAACAGAGCAGTTGTATCTCCCACCAAAGTCTTTCCTCTAGCTTGTGACTATTTCCACTTTGTTGGATTGATTTATTCAGCCCCTAAATTTTATTGAGTCCTCATGTGCAGCTCAGTGACCCAGCAGAGAACAGACAAGGCCCCTGCTCTCATGGGGCTTCTGCCAGGGGGTGGAGAGCAATGACAGTAAAGAGTAAAAAAATATCAGGAAGTAAGAACTACTATGATGAAAATTAAGCAAGGTGATGTGATAGGGAGTAGCCAGGGAACTACTTTTAAAAGAAATAGTTAAGAAAGATATCTTTGAGGAAGTAATTCATAAACCAAGCATGCAACAGGACGGGAAGGAGCCCGATCTGTGATCATCTGGTGGAAGAGCGTTGCAGGTGGCAGGACTAGAAGTGTGGTGAGGGGGTCAAGAGCTGGAGGGCATGGCTGAAACTCAAGGAGGGCTGAGGACATGTGAGAGTCTATAGGTCAGGCTCATTCGTGCCTTAAGGGCAAGCTAAGATTTTGGATTATGTTTCAGATTTGAAGGGACATTTTGGGGGGATGGTTTGATTAGGGAATGACATCTGTTTCATGTTTATAAAGGATCTCTCTGAATACCCCTTGATTATAAATAGGCAGGAGTAGAAACGGGGAAACCCACAGGAATGATGGCAGGAGGTCCAGGTGGAAGAGATGGTGATTGGATAGGGTGGTAGCAATAGATACCAGCTTGCTATTGGGTTAGAGATGGAGAGTCGGGAAAAGATAGGAACAGAGACTATTCTTGGATCTGGGCTTCAGCTATCAGAAGGGGAAAACTAGGGAATGGCAGGTTTGGGGGAAATCAATGTCTGTTTTGGGTGCAGGTTGCATTGCCCCCTGTACAAATGTCAATTAGGTGGCAAGATATGCTGTGGGAACTAACCATGTGCAGACAATGCTATTAAAGAATCTGGAATGGACTCCAGGTTCAGGTGTCCCCCACCCTTCTTTCTGGCTGGACTCATCCAAGCCCACCACTCCCATCTCTGGGCCTTCTCCTGCTGACCTTGCTTTTGCTGTTGAAGGTTGCTTTGAGTTTTAGAATGTGAAGGACGGTGGGAGAATAGTAGAAGCATGTGCTGGGCCTGTAATTACAGTGACAAGAGTGCTTCTTTTTTTGGTAGCTCTCAACATTTTAATCATTATCTATTTTAATAAAGACAAAAATTGAATTTAAAAGGGAACAGACTTTTTTAAAGATAGATTCTAGATTCACAATGTGTTGTTCTTCAGCTACCCTATGTAAATCACAAATTTATATTGCTATTATAAATCAGGATTATCAGCTAATATAAGTTACATGAAACAAAGATTTTAGTGCTACTTGTCTTCAGTGTCACATACTACTGTTAAAATGCAAACATGAACAGAAACTAAATGAAAATAAGAAACTATGAAAATGTGCTTTTACTTCCAGATGTTATTCCCATTTTGAATTTTATATTTACTTTTATTGGCATAATACATGGGTGTTTTACATTTTTGTATGTCTTTACAGCAGTATCCTTACTACTTTATCCTTCTATAAAAATAATCCTCAGTTATTTTATGCTTTGAAAACGCTTTCCTATCCCAATGTCATGCCACCTATGTTTACTGATAGTTTTATTTATTGTACTTGTAAATCCAAGTGGAATTTACTGTGCTGTATAGGGCAAAGTACAAACTTTGTAATTTTTATTTTTTTGCCTCCTCAGAAGAATTTGGAGTTAAACATATGACTCAGTCTTTATTTGTCTTGAATGATTCTTGTCCATTGCAGATAAACTCTCCAGCCTTCCAGCTGACCACATGGTGAGTCCAAGGCCCTGATCCAGTATCACAGCAGAATTCACACCAGCCCTGAACCTGGAGAGATGGTATCACAGTCTATGGGTCAGGCAGATTCTCCCGTGGACCCCTGGGATGGGGTCAGCAATGACTCTTGTGATGCTGATGGTTTGCCCAGCCTCCTAGACCCTAAGCACCCCCGTTGCCAGTCAGACCTCAGGTTCATGAGGCACAGAGCTGCCTGGATTAACCTCCAGAGTGAGCAGCAACCGCTGCAGGATTTGGGCCCTCAGGGGCCAGCAGTGGGGAACAGTGGGAGCTGCTTGGTGGGGGCTGCTGCTTTTCCCGTGGGCCGGTCACCACTGTCTTTTGAGGACTCCGTGGGGGAGAGATCACTGTCGAAGGATGCTGTGGACTCCGTGAGCAGCTCTTCTGCCCAGGGCTCAGGAGAAAAGAACAGAGACTTCTCTTGCACCCCAGTGGAAGAGCAGGCCGTGCTCCCAGCAGGCCATCCTCAGATGTCTCTGTTCCCAACATCCAAGATTTTGGCCCCTTCACTAGGCCCTGAGGCTGATGGTGCTCTTCCCAAACCTTCCCACCTGGCAGCTCCCGCTGATGAAGGTAATTTTCGTTGGACACTTCCCTCATTCCTGTCTGTTCACTTGTTTGCTTTGCCTCGATCGTTTGCTTAACCTGCCCTACTGTCTTCATGAGAAAGTTATGGATTTCCCCTTTGACCAGAAGCCTGTGCACTGGCTCATTTAATATTGTCTTTGGGCCAGCCACCTGGGCAGTCACAACAGGTGACACCAAATATTTCCTTTCTCCTTAGACTGCAGGGAAATGTCACCTTAGCTCAGCTGAATTAATAGTCAATACCACTTGCCATCTTCGAGCTGGTGCGGGCCTTCAGGAACTTCCAGCTCCCTGCAAGGAAGAGCATCGGAAGTGCCCTCAGTTCATTGTGGGTGTGGGAGATGTTTCTAGACACTCAGCATAGCCTGCATTCTGCACCAGTGCTCACAGAGGAGATTAGCTCCCCTCACCTGTTATATTTACCTGGACAGTGTGACTTAAAAGTGGTAAGACTTATATACAGTAAGCACAACCCCATGAAATACTATAAGAAGCTTTCTTATTATTATTTAAACAAGGGTTCCCCTTGCTATGAAGTAATGCACCTATTCCTAAAACACTGAAATTCCTAAAATGAGATAATCCATTCAAAATGCCACACAAGAGTCAATAAATTAGCTATGGTTGTTATTATTTGGAGCATACTTATTTTATTTTTAAATACTCATCATGTTATGTTCATGCTTTACATTAATTTATATTTCTGTTAGAACACTAACTCAGATAGTCAATGAAGTTTTTTCTTTCAAAACAATTTTAAAAGCTGCCTACTTGCTTGTGTGTGTGTGTGTGTGTGTGTGTGTGTGTGTGTGTGTGTGTGTGTGTGCATTTATTTCCCATTAGCAGAACTGGTCCTCCCCCTTTCCTACAATATAGAGTTATTTGTCCAATATTCAAAAACATTGGATATTTTTTAAAAGTTGAAGATGATAATCTTTAACATTCATTTATTTCCCATTAGCAGAACTGGTCCTCCCCCTTTCCTACAATATAGAGTTATTTGTCCAATATTCAAAAACATTGGATATTTTTTAAAAGTTGAAGATGATAATCTTTAACATTGTTTTCATAGCTTAAGAATAGCAGATTATGGACAGTTTTCAATGTGCTAATTTTGAGATAAGAATCAAATTTGAGTAAAATGATACATTCTGATCACAAGCCTTTATTCTACCTTTTTTCTCACCTGCCAGGATAGTTCTCAGGAAAAGAGTGGCTTGCAAATATAGTGGTTGATAAGGAAGAGGTTGGTAAGTAAGGTTAGTAAGGCATCCTGCTAGATCATCTCCAGGGAGAGCGAGGGGAACATGAAGCAAAGCCCTCTCCCTGGCAAGCCGCCATCACCACCACCAGTTATACAGGGACGAAGATGATCTTTAGGGGCCTGTATACACCGGCCCCAAATAATTTGTTTTGTCACTATACAGGAAGTACATACTTTAATTTAAATAAATTTATTTAATACTTTGTTTTATATCTATGTAAAATATAACGATATTTATATTTAATAATTTATTTAATAAATAATTTAAAATAGTTTAAAATTATCCTGTAGTTTTGTCTTTCTCCCAGAAAGAAAACAGATACCCCAGCCCCTTTGTCCAAAGACAGTGACCCCAGGAATCTCTCCAGGTACCTTTAAAAAACACTCAGTCTTTTGAGAGTGTCCCTTAAACTTGATAAAGGGATTCATTCCATGGGATTAAAGAAAAAAGAAGTCCTGAGTGATCTGGTTCCTTCTTAGGTGTGGGGCAGCAATGGGAAGACCAGGCATTTGCTGCTATGACTGAATTTTCCTATAACTGCGGCCTCTCAAATGGGAACCGCGGGGTTTCCTTACCGGATAACCTGGTAGGGAAAGCCCACCTGAGCCTGTAAGCACGTAAGAAACATCCGCGGTGCCTTTTGTTTGCATAGGACCTGCGCATTACAAAGCCCTCACTTCCTTACCTCCTTCGTCTCCTAATGGCTCATCGTCCCAGTTTTAAGGGAGGAGGATATTTTACTGCAGCAGCCCAGCTGGTTCATGGAGAGCTGGAACTAGAGCCCACACTGTCTGATTCTTCTCTGTGCTTTTCCCTCTATACTCAGGTCCAAAAACAATAAACAATGACCTGTGGGCCAAATCTAACTGCCTCCTGATTTTACAAATTAAGTTTTGTTTGTTTTGTTGACAGCTGCTTTCTCACTACAGTTGCAGAACTGTGTAGTTGCAGTACATGCTGTATGGCCCTCAGATCCTGTAATATTTACTACTCAGTTCTTTCAGAAAATGTTTGCCCACCCAGGATGGGTTCTGAGGCTAAGAGGTCCAGAGTTTTCCAGGGAGCAGTCACTTTCTTGAAGGACAAGCAAGGGATTTGAGTGATCCTGCTTGCATCTCAGTTGGTCACCCTGAGAGCTGTAAAATCAGCAAGACATCTGTAGCGTTTTGTTCTAATTTAGCAGGTTGGGACAGCTCAGCTCTTAGGTCTCTCACAGACATGTTTTGCTATAAATGCTGCAGTAAAAACCATAAATGCTGCAGTAAAAACCACGTCACAGAGGTCATTTTTGTTCTGATGGTGTCATTGCCAGTAATGGAGTGGCTTTAGGGTACAGAACAGGTGAGTCAGCTAAATGTACCCTCCGCAGTTTCTTCTTGTTTTTGACTGGAGGAAGACCATTTTGGAGAAGCAATGCTGACACTTTTCAGATAGATTTTGTTTCTGTAAACAGGAAGTTTTGGGTCAGTTGCAGTGGGTTGAAGAAGTGATCCTGTGTTTCTTATGGCCCTGGTTCTAGACTGTTCCTCTTCGCCCTTCTTCAGCTCCCGTAGACAGTTTCCAAGATCCTCTTCTCTTGCTGCCCTCTGTGCCCCTTGTTCTCCATTTCAGTGGTTCTCCCATGACCTCTCTGAGGATTCTGCCCAAGGTACTCCAGTAGCTGCTTGTAGAAATGATCACCATTATGGTAATATCTGCAAGTCCTATGCCAGAAGGGTCTTTCTCCTTCTGGCATCCTAATTTACTCTAGAATCGTGCTGAATTAAAAACAGTAAAATGATATTTAAAAGTCATTCCTTAGAACTGTTTTGTGTTCTGAGGTAATCTTTGACTTCTTTTTCTCCACTTGTTAATAACTCACTCTGTTGGCAGGTGCTGTTCACATCAGCAAAAGAGCCGGTTCTCTGAATTCCTTCTCAGCAGAGGCATGCGTGCTCCCTGTCGATGTAGAAAAGGTGAACACTTCGTCTCCTTTTTCCTTTTTGAGACCACAGAGAGGGCAGAACCTTAGGCAGTGCTGTTCTGATTTAAACCTGGGAAGTTCACCTCCCAGTGATGATGCCTGGCAAACAGGGTTAGTTTTCAGGGTTAGTTTTAATGCACAGAGGCAGGAGCTCTAAACTGAGAAGGGTCCGAGGCGGTGTCTGCATTCAGCTGAGTTTTTCCATGACTGGTGGGGTCACCATCAACCTAGGGTTTTATAGTACAAGGAACCCAGTGTGGTTTTCTGTTGGTTGTCATGTCCCTCAAAGACCTGGTTTTTCAATCTAATACACCCTCTGTGAAAAAAAAGTTGGCTATGCTTGTGAGTATTTTAACCGATTTTTTTTTTCTGCAGGAAAACGCCCACTTTTATGTTGCAGATATGATTATATCAGCAATGGAGAAAATGAAGTGTAACATCCTGAGTCGACAGCACACAGAGAACTGGAGGACAGAAGAAGTCAGCAGGGCACTTGGGAATGATCAGGCTTACTCTGAAGTGAACTTTCACACTAACGTAAAGCAAGAATCTGGGTCTTCCACTTCTTCAGACAGTGGCTATGAAGGCAAGTGGGGTAAACATGAGAAAATTTTATGCTGTGTTCTTCAAACATCTCTTTTCCTGTCAAATCACAGAGAAAGGCTTTAAATCCTATCTGTAACTTCTGGAGTAACCTGTATAGTCCTCACCATTTCTGCCATTTGGGCTTGGAGTTGGTGATCACACTGTTGTTAAACTGATGTGTTTTTCTGTTGGACTCCGTCCTGCTTTTCCCGTTGGCAGTGGCTGGCATCTGCCCACTCCCTTTGTCTCTGGCACGTGGCCTTGTTCGCTTCCTTAGTCATTGCTTCCTTTTCCAATCTGTCCTCTTCCATTCATTCCATAAACAAGGAGCCTGTGAGTGCTGGGTGCCAGAGTCAAGATGCAACAAGATGTACTCCTTCCCTCAAGGGGCCTTCACATCCGAGCAGAGGCTGAGGGATAGCTCCAATGGCACAGGCATGCCCATGCCTGGTGCGGAGTCCGAGCAGCTCACCTCATGGGGTTTAGGGAGACCTTCCTGAGGGAGGTGGTGCTTGAGCTGAGAACTGAAGTTAGGGCTTGTCATTTTCTTGCCATTTCCTGAATGTGAGTCCTGCTTCAGTCCTAGAGTCATCTCTGTACTGCCCGGGAGATTTCATCCACGGCAGTATCCTTCCATTATTCCCTCTGGGTTGAGCTCTCCCAAATCTGTTTCCAGTCCTGCAACACTCTTCTAAGTGCTCGATCCTTATGGCTGGGACGTGTCAAACATGCTTACCTGCTTGGCAGGCAACTAACTTAATGTGTTTACACTAGTTATCTATCAGTCCCATGCAACCTTGTTCCTTCCAAAAGATAAAAAGCAAGTTTACTCTTCCCTCCCTTCTGACTTCCTTTACCCTAGCATCTTCGTCACGAGCCTTTCAGTAATGAGAGCGCTCCTTCCATGTGGCACGTAGGTAGCACAGTGCCTGGCACAGAAGAGATGGACAATGAGCAGCTATTGGATGCACTACCTAGCTCAAGTGAGAAGGGATTTCTTTCGAGGCTATAGAGTCTCCTCAGTGAACCCAGTGGTAGGGACACAGAACTGACCAGTGTCATGGGAGCTCTGGCAGTTGCCTGTGCTGGCTTGTGGCCCCTGGTCGCCTCTCTTCATGTATTGGCTTGATTCCCCTTTTTCTACAGCCTGACCTCTTCCCCCAACCCCCCAGCCCCTCGTTTCAGCTCTGCAGCCTCCCTCGCTGCTCAGTCTTGGCTTGCAGGACCCCAAGTCCAGATTCCCCAGGAAGAGCCCCTGGCTGGGCCTGCTTGGATTGGGGGTCCACACCTGGTCAGCCACTGCAGCCAGGGGAGAAGGGGCTATGATGTGGACCATCATCCCCTCTGAGGTGACCAGTGAAGAAAAAAGGCATGTGGCCCTTCTTCTTCCTTAGGCCTGTGCCCCTGTCCACTTTTAGTTAGTGAACAAATCAGTCCTGGTTTCTGAGCAAGACTGACATCCCCTCCATTCTCTTCTGATTCCTGCCTTTTACCTGACAGCCTTCTGGCCAGTCATTCTGTGAATATTGCATTCAGGTCCTCGATACATATTTGCTGCCTTGCATTTTCTCTCTTTACTTTCAGCATTTTCCCCTCATCGATTCCATACACATCTGTCTTCCAAAACTCAACTTCTAATCCTCTAAACGGTCCACTGAGTTTCTCCCACATTTTGTCTTGGGCTGTTTATCCTTGTGGGCCTTCCTCCTGCCCTTCTGACGGTCATCTCCTGCCATTTCCCTGCATGTTCCCTGGGCTTCAGTCATGCCAGCCTGTTACACTTGATACGGACATTTCTCATAAGCTCCTGCCTCCCTCCCTTTGCTTCTGCTCGGCTAGAATGCTGGTTCCCCAGAAACCATGCATTTGTTCCTCCATCCTTTCCATTCTTCAAAAGCAATCTCCTGCCACCAGCACTGTGACATTCTCCCTGATTTGTTTCAATGGCCAGGGGCACCATTCATATGGAATGAAACATAAGTTGTGCTCCAGAATGCTCTGTAATTGTCTATGTGCATGCCCCGCACCAAGGGTGTATGCAATGTGAAGCCCTGCCTCTGAATTTCTTAAGACCCGTGGCACACAACTGTGTTTTTGTATGATTAAGTATGTTGGTGCCTCAGATTCCTCATGAGATTTTAAGTTCTTTGATGGATGAGAATTTGTCTTATTTATATTTGCATTCAGCATAGTGCCTTGCCTAAAACAAATATTTTATAAATATTTATTGAATGGTTGAGTAGAAGCTCATGTTTAGCTGAAATTTTTTTAAATATATGAATATGTTATATGAAATTTTCAAATATTCCTAGGACCCAAATAAAAATATCTTTCATTAAATATCTCTCTTGTGACATTTATGACAATAGATGTTACTCCATAAGGTAGGTCATCATTCTTCAAAAAAGAAAAACAATAGAAAATGTCAGCATGTACCTCATTTAGTGCAAGCAGTGCTTCCAGGTCTTTTTTATCAGTTAAATATATTTTTGTGTTTGTACTAACATGCAGTGTAAATTGTATGTTACTGTGGATCACGGCCAAAAAAATATGAGAAACACAGGGGTGGGTGAAATTTCTGCCATTTCACCCATGAAGAAACTGAAGCTGAGAAGGTCCAGCAAGGAGGGGGCCGGGTGGCTTTAAATGGCAGCCAGTCCACTACAGAGCCCATTACATAAGCATGACATAAGCTCTGTGTAACCTATGGGCTACAGCATTTCACTCAAAAACTATATTCATGTTGCTGTGTTTCTCTTATGTTTATTCAAGTGAATATAGTTTCATAATAATTATATATTAATATTAATGAAACTATATTAATAATATGGTTATATTAACAGTATTTCATATCTAGTTTTCCATGTTGCTAGTTTTCATATTTTTCAATAATGTTATTTCTTGACCTAATAGTGTTATTTGCAAAATCAGTTTCCTAGTATTTGCATTTAGGTAGCTTCCACATTTTAATATTTTGAATGAATTGCGAATATCTCCTTTGTATCAAAGGCTTCCTCTTTTTACATTTTTACTTCTTAATGACATACTTTGGATAATTCCCAAAGTGAGTATTAGGGATAGAAAGGCAAGAACATATTAGTTCCCTAGGGCTGCTGTAACAAAATACCCCAAACTGGGTGGCTCAAAACAACAGAAATTGATCCTCTCACACATCCTCAAGGCCAGAAGTCAGAGAGGAATTTGTTGGCAGGTTAGCTCCTGGACGCTCTCAGAGAGAATCTGCTCCGTGCCTGGCTCCTGGCTTCCGGGGGTCCCAGTCATCCTTGATATTCCTGGGCTTGTGGACACATCACCCCAGTCTCTGCCACCATCTTCATGTGGTGTTCATCTGGGTATCTGTCTCTGCATCCAAATCGCCCTCTTTTTATGACGCCAGTCCTACTGGACTTAGGGCTCACCCAATTCACTGTGACTTCTGCTTAACATGATGACATGTGCAAAGACCCTGTTTCCAAACAAGATCACATTCACAGGTCTGAGTGAACGTGAAGCTGGGCTGGGGGCACTACTCAGTGCCATACAATGTTGAGGTTGCCTATACTCTTTGCCTCATTGTGAAGCTGATTGTTTTTTCCCCTCTTAAATTTCATTGCATTTTATATTAAGAAAATTTTCATACATGAAAGTAGGCAGATTATATCATGAACACCCACAAACATATTATTCTGTTTTCACTTAATCATTGTCAATGTTAAGAACAACACAAAATAGCTCCCTGCATTTTTTACCTCCTGAAGCTGAATTTTTTAATTCTTTCAAATGAACTCTTAGCCCCTTTTATTCCTTAATTTCTGTATAGTTGGGTGTTGGCAGCTTGTGCAGTTTTCTTTTTCTTCTTGCTGGTGAAACCCCCTTGCTTTCTTTTTTTAGGTTGTGCTGTGTTACAAGTCAGCCCACTGGCTGACTGTGATGTGACGAAAGAGGCCTGCAAGTGTGACTTTGATGACTTTGTTATTGTAGGTAAGATTTGGAAACTCATTGGATATGACAAGATACCTCCCCCAACACACACATATGCACATCTGGACATCCATCGTATGCGATACCCTATTACAGAGGCATTCAAAGAAACTTCTCCTGAGATCAGATTATGCCCCTGAGATAGAAAATAAGATGTGCTCCTTGTTTTAAATGTCTTGAAAGTTAATCTCTCATTTCACTTGTAGAATTGAATGCAAAAGTCAATTCTCATCATAGTCTGATACCCATTTGGCCTCTCAATTATATTTTGGTGAAATTTCAGATGAGTATATTTTGAAATAGTCATCTTTGGTCATTGGCTGTAGTCTCATAATAGAAACCCGAAGAACCTAAGGTGTGGAGGTGCTGAATCATTGGTTCTTCCTGAGATGCAGGGAGCTATTTTTGTGTTCTTAAAAAATGACTATGATTACGTGAATCAGACTGAAAGATCTCACTACTTTTTCTTCTATTTTCCCACAGAACTTGACGAATTTAGCAATAATAGCACAGAAGAAAGCTATGGATGTTCCTGTGGCTCCTCTAGCAGGTACGTCTCTTCCGTATCTACCTGCACATAGACCCTTGGGACAATCACCTGTGAGGCACTGTGAACACCAGGCCTCTGATCTCTCAAGCCAAGTTCAGCCAGTTCCAATGACAGCTATTAGTAAGGAAACAACTGCCCCTAAAGTTTCTACAGTGTTTTTACAGTGTTTGTAAGATTTTGCATACATTCTCATTTAATCCTCATGGATAGGCTGGGCAGGGTTTTTTTAACCCCATTTTACTTATGTGGAAACTGAGGCTCAGATAAGATGTGCTTCAGGGCAGAGTGTTGTTAAGTAGCAGATGTAGGACTTGAACTCAGGTCTTCAGGCTCTAAATCCAGTGCTCATTGTACTACACCTGCCAATCTCGGTACCTTCAGCAAATACCTTCAGCCTCCCGTGAGCATGGAGGAATTATGCTGAGTAAGGTAACCAGTGGGTGGCTGATGCATGGTGTCTTTCTTATAAGACACCCCCTCCCAGTGTTTGGAGAGGGAAGGATAGTTGAAAACCTGAATAAGAAGACCCTTAACATACTCCTCATGAATACAGGTCTCCATTTTTTGCATCTCTTATATTTCAGTGTCATTTATCAGCCAAACTTCAATTCTGCTGAGCTACTAGCCAAGGAGCTGTACCGAGTATTCCGAAAGTGCTGGATCTTGTCAGAAGTTAATTATCAGCTGGCAGGTTCTTTGAATGTAGCTGGCTTCATAGTAAGTATCAAAATAAATTGACCTTGAAATGAAAGTTCCTTAATTCTCATTTTGCCTGCTATTCACTGCAGACATTTATGTTTCCTTGTATAGTTGCTGGGTGCTGGGAAAGACTCAAAATGAAGGATGAATCTGACATTTATTGAATGCTTATCATGCAGCTGGGACTGTTCTCAACAATTCCATTTTAATCCCCACAAGTATCTTATTAGGTAGATGCTATTGCTATTTTTATTTTAAAGTGTTAATTCCAGACCCTCAGTAGGACTGGGCTGATGGTAGAGCAGGAGTAACTTCAGGCTGCCTGGTTTGAAAGTTCAGGCTGGTTCCCTTGGAGAACACTGTGCCCTGACAGAATGCAGCTCCCTGGGGGTCAGAGAACTCTATCCTCAGGGTAGGAAAGAGCACTCTGGAAGCGCAGAGGAGGCACTGTTCAATTTCAGTCGGGCAAGTTGGGAAAGCTGCTTGGAGATCTCAGAACTTCGACTTAGATTTAGGCCAGGCAGAGCTGTAGCAGGTGGGAACACATGAAAGGGTATTCTTGGCAAGGGGGGCACTGGAGCGAAGTGACAGGAGGTGGGTGGTGAGTTCATCCTGCAGAGTGATTGGTGTGGCTGCATAATGTGTTTGTAGGTGTCTGTGTGGGGGGGCAGGGTGATCTTCCTGGGAATTAAGGCTTGAGTGAAAATGGCCAAATTGTGGGGGATATAGAATGCTAATTGGAGGAATTTGGATCTTCAATAGAGAGTTGAATGATTCAGAGGGGAGCCACTGAACATTTATAAACAGGGGAATGGTCTTAGAAGAGCTGTTCCTGGAGAAGTCTGACAACAGGGGATTCTGACTGGCAGCATCCATCAGCCCACTAAGAGGGGAGAGGCTTTGGCTGTGCATCAAAGCATTCCAGGTCACGGTGACCTACTTACAGTAATAGGAAGTCTGGAAACAAATAACCTACTAAAAATACTAAGACAAGTGATCTCAGCTGGATGGTGTTTTAGATAATTCTCTGCAGATGGCTTTAGATATAGGGAGGGCTCTTGCCCTGTCCTTTAGCTCCACCTAAAGCAGTTTTAATTTTTCATGGCAAATTTTAATGTTAGAAACATACTTGAATGTTCTTTTTATTTCAATTCCTGAAATATGCTCACTTCAGTTGTTCCTAAATCCTCTTCTGTGTTATGCAGGTGCTAAATGAAGATCATGTTGGAAAAGACTTTGACTCCAGTGTGGATGTAGTACAGGAAATTAAGCTGAAGTCAAGGATGAGAGGGACGGAAGACTGGGAGCCTCCGAGATTTCAAATCATATTTAATGTTCACCCACCAGTCAAGTAAGTCCAGGTTGCTGCTTGGGCCCCCAACCCAGGTAAAACAAATTGTGCTGGATCCCAGCAGACTCTATGGAAGTTGGTAAAGGAAAAAAATAATACTCTGAGGGACAAAGGAAAATTTGTTTCAGGACAAGGAAAGCTGGGCATAATTTTCTGAGTTAGCTTTCTTGGCACCCTGTGGGGGGCAGGGTGATCTTCCTGGGAATTAAGGCTTGAGTGAAAATGGCCAAATTGTGGGGGATATAGAATGCTAATTGGAGGAATTTGGATCTTCAATAGAGAGTTGAATGATTCAGAGGGGAGCCACTGAACATTTATAAACAGGGGAATGGTCTTAGAAGAGCTGTTCCTGGAGAAGTCTGACAACAGGGGATTCTGACTGGCAGCATCCATCAGCCCACTAAGAGGGGAGAGGCTTTGGCTGTGCATCAAAGCATTCCAGGTCACGGTGACCTACTTACAGTAATAGGAAGTCTGGAAACAAATAACCTACTAAAAATACTAAGACAAGTGATCTCAGCTGGATGGTGTTTTAGATAATTCTCTGCAGATGGCTTTAGATATAGGGAGGGCTCTTGCCCTGTCCTTTAGCTCCACCTAAAGCAGTTTTAATTTTTCATGGCAAATTTTAATGTTAGAAACATACTTGAATGTTCTTTTTATTTCAATTCCTGAAATATGCTCACTTCAGTTGTTCCTAAATCCTCTTCTGTGTTATGCAGGTGCTAAATGAAGATCATGTTGGAAAAGACTTTGACTCCAGTGTGGATGTAGTACAGGAAATTAAGCTGAAGTCAAGGATGAGAGGGACGGAAGACTGGGAGCCTCCGAGATTTCAAATCATATTTAATGTTCACCCACCAGTCAAGTAAGTCCAGGTTGCTGCTTGGGCCCCCAACCCAGGTAAAACAAATTGTGCTGGATCCCAGCAGACTCTATGGAAGTTGGTAAAGGAAAAAAATAATACTCTGAGGGACAAAGGAAAATTTGTTTCAGGACAAGGAAAGCTGGGCATAATTTTCTGAGTTAGCTTTCTTGGCACCCTGTTTATTGTGGGCTTTGGGGGACCCTGTAAGTTTTGACAAGTTGAGAATTTAATTATGTGTCCTCAGTTATAAACATTACATAGCAATTAAAAATTAAATAGGCTTAAAGGGGATTTTTAAGTATCTAAATTTGAACCTTAAAAATCATACACAATAATTTTGAAGGACGAGTGCAATGTGAATTAAAACTCAACAACAAAAATTTTTAAAAAGGAAAAGTGGACTTTGAGGAGAGCTGCTACAGTTAAGAAATGTAACAATGCAAATAAGAATATCTTTGTTCTATAAGAAGTAACAAAACCCTAAAAGGCGAAACAACTGAGACAAAAAAAAAAAAGAAAAGAAACTCATATATGTATATTATAATAATATAAAGTAGTAGTTTATTTGTTTTGAGTATATGACATTAAGAATAAAGGACCAATTACAAATTTTCCAGCTTCCTTGGTTTGTATTTAATTCAGCCCACAAACTGCAGTCACGAAGGGACTGGACAGGGTTATCGCCAGTACCACGTGCTGGTGCCTTGTAGACCATTTTTTCTTTGGAGGGAAGGCCAAGGCCTCTCGGTTTGCTGAAGCAGAAGAGCTCCCTCTCCAGGCCTTGTTAGGCGTCTCCCCTTAACATGGGATGTCTTACCTCTAGGCTCTTTCTAGGTTCTCTCTAAGGCACATGGGTAGGGTTCCGAATAATTTTACCTTGGCCATTTTTGTTGACCCTACACTGTAATAAAATTTTACAACTTTCTCCATTTTTTCAAATCACATGTAAAACTGTGGCCCCAGCAGTTCAGTGGAAAACACTTCAGTCTCTCACTGGAAGTGTCTGATAGCTTTGTCTTACGCTACCTCTTCTTCACCTAAACTCCTTTGGGTCAGTGTGTGAGCTTGCTAAGCGCATCATCTCTTTTTTTTTTTTTTTTTTAGATAAGTATTTTTTATTGAAGGGTAGTCAACACACAGTATTACATTAGTTTCAGGTGTACAACACAGTGATTTAACATTTATATACATGATAATTCTAGGTACCAGCTATCACCATACCAAGTTGTTACAATATTTTGACTATATTCCTTATGCTATACATTACATCCCGGTTACTTATTTATTTTACAATTGGAAGTGTGTACTTTTTTGTTTTGTTTTGTGAGGGCATCTCTCATATTTATTGATCGAATGGTTGTTAACCACAATAAAATTCTGTATAGGGGGGTCAATGCTCAATGCACAATCATTAATCCACCCCAAGCCTAATTTTCATCAGTCTCCAATCTTCTGAAGCATAACGAACAAGTTCTTACATGGAGAACAAATTCTTACATAGTGAATAAGTTAAATGGTGAACATTACAAGGGCAGTCATCACAGAGGCTTTTGGTTTTGATCATGCATTATAAACTATAAACAGTCAGTTCAAATATGAAGATTCATTTGATTTTTATACTTGATTTATATGTGGATACCACATTTCTCTCTTTATTATTATTATTTTTAATAAAATGCTGAAGTGGTAGGTAGATATAAGATAAAGGTAGAAAACAGTTTAGTGTTGTAAGAGAACAAATGTAGATGATCAGGTGTGTGCCTGTAGACTATGTGTTAATCCAAGCTAGACAAGGGCAATAAAACATCCACGTATGCAGATTTCTCTCAGAACAGGGGGGGGGGAGGTTCTAAGCCTCACCTCTGTTGTTCCCCATTTTCTCACCTGATGGCCCCCCTGCGACTGTGCCTGTCTTAGGTTGTTTCTCCCTTGAGGAATCTTACCCGTCTCTGGCTAACCAGTCATCTTCCGGGGCCATACAGGGAAATGTTAAGTTGGTAAGTGAGAGAGAAGCCTTATTGTTTGAAAAGGTTAGCTTTTTACTTCTTTGCATATTTTATGCCCTGTGGCTTCTATGCCCAGCATTTGTCTTGAGGTGTCTTTACCACTTGGAAGAATTATGATACTCGGTAAATTCGATATGAGGCACGAATTCTACTTAAGGGTTATAATTAGGAAGGAAGAAGAAAAGCTATAGAAGTAGCAGGTGGAAGAAAACCTGGGAAGATTGATTATTTCTTTGACATACCTTCTTGTAGAGTAACTTCAGCATGTATAGGTTTTAAACTACTAATTAAATTGCACACACACATTAACATAATAGGAGTACAGTTATGTAACCAAAGCATACCTATAATTACCAGCCATCTCCAGTGAAACCAAGAAAACCAGTTAGGCACCTTAGGCATTTGTGAAAACTTATCTATAATATGGTGGATATTGTCCAACTGAACTTAAACAGTCTGAGAGAAATCAGACAAATTAAAACAACCCATTCCTGGGGACTGTTCACATCCCATATGCTCTTTTAACAGTAAATAGTCTGTAGTTGTAAGATTTTGGATAAGCGCATCATCCCTTGATGCCTCATCCCCCTGAATGTTCTCCCAGGCAGCACGTGTCTCTGGTTCTCTCTAGAGAGAGAGTCCTGGGCTGAGGCGGTGAGAGGTCTCTGAAGGCCCTTTGGTGGAGCAGTTATTTGTGATATTGAATTCTGCTCTGGTGGTGGTAGGTGCTTTTAAAACACCCAGCGATTTCAACTAGAGAGCTCTATTGAATAATTCTATTTCTTTCCCAAACAAAAAATGACAAAATGAAGGCTTCAAGTCAGGAAAAGCATCATGAAGTCAATTGCTCTTCCAATCAGTTAAAAATGCTCCATGGGCCTCTTCTGAAATGTAACTTCTATCATTTTCTGTACAGGAGGGACCTCATGGTAGCAGCCCAGAATTTTTTGTGTGCTGGCTGTGGGACACCAATAGAACCTAGTAAGTATGGATCATAGGTTGCCTGATCAGTCTGTGATGACAGAGTGAAGAATAATGAGGTGGGACAGGTCATTGTTTTTGTGAAAGATGCCTTTGATGAGAAGGTGTAAGAGCTGCCGGGTGTTGCCCCCTCTTTCATGAAGAGGCCATCGTGAGCTATAAGGCTACGTGACTGGCCTGTTACCTCTCAGATTCTCATCTCCTAGTCGTCTTCCCACCGGGCACTCAGCCTGAGCCACAGGGCCACCCTGCTGGTCTTTGAACGTGGCAGGCTCACTCCTGATTTAGGGATTTGCATTTGTGGTTTACTCTCCCTGGAATGCCCTCCCCCGATGGCTGGTTCCCTTATTTCTTTCACGTCTTTACTCAGAAGTTATAGGGCAACCTACTGAAAATGTCTACCTCACCACACTCCTGGCCACAAGCATACACATGAACACTTTTTCTTACCCTTCCTTTTCATTTTTATTCTAGCACTTATCTTCCTAAAACACTCTTAGAGTTTACTGATTCTTATTATTGTCTGTCTCCCGCACTAGATTCTAAGTTCCATGAAGACAGATATGTTGTCTGGTGTCTTCATTGCTTTATCCCCTGTTCCTACAAAAGTGTCTGGCATGCGTTGGGCCTTAGAAGATATTTATTCAATGACTAAATGGCTTGCCAAAAAGCTAGCCAAACTCCTCTGAGAGAGTTTGAGGGAAGTGGTCTGAGGGGGATCATTCCTGGGCCAGTTGAGGCCTAGAAAATCAGGCTTCACCCAGGCAGAAATGCAAGTTGCCTACTTGAGATTTGGAATCACTTGTGTGTGAGGGGGTCTATAGGTCTGACCTGCAGAAGGCTGGGAAGAAGAGCTTTGGGCGAAAGGGTTCCCTTGGCCTTTGAAAAGGCAGTCTTCCAAGGAAAGACTTGGAAGACCTGCACCTCAAGAAATAAAAGCAGAAAACAGAAACCTATCTACACTTCCTTCCACCATGTTGAATGACAATGATGGTTGTAACTACCTTTCTTTAAACGACTTGTCTTCCCAGCTGGGCCAGTAAGGACCATGTCTATTTGGTTACCACTGTATTCTGGTACCTCAGGAAATCTTGCATGCATGGGTCAGAAAGAGGAACACATGACCATGATTCCACTGACTTTTTAAGTCTTTCTCTAAATTTGTTCAAATTTGGAGATATGTGCCAATGCTGTTGATGCAAACATGGACTGTGCTTACAAGAAGGCATAGTCATCAGTTAAATAACAAGGGCAATATAGGCAATGAAAGAGAAAGTCAAGAGTACCATGGGATTTACAGCAAGGGAACTTAATCTGGGGTTAGAGGCTGGGAGTGAGAGGTTTCATGAGGAAGTGATTATTTCCAGAGGAATGGACAGTTTTTTGGGGGCTGGGGTTTACCATATACAAAAGGCCTGAGGCTGTTGCAAAGGTCCTTGACTACAGAGTAAGAATTAGAGGAGAAAACCTGCCTCAGATACAGGCAGAGCACTGCTTGGAGAGGCATTATTGACATGCTTGGAGAGGCATAAACAGTTTTGGACATTTTTTTGTGAACTTCCTATAGCTCTTAGGATAATTTTTTTTAATTTTTATTTTGAGATAATTTTAGCCTTAAAAGAGTTGCAAAAATTGTATGGAGACATCATTCTTTATACCCTTTACCTAACTTCCCCCTACTGTTAACTTCTTATAATAATCATAGCATAATTATTAGAACTAAAAAATTAGCATTGGTATAATTCTATTAAATAAACTCCAGATTTTATTCTGATTTCATTAATGACCTATATCTGTCCTAGGGTCCAATCCAGATTCCCACATTGAAGTTAGCTGTCATTTCTTCTTTGTCTACTCCAACCTCATACACACTGAGCCATTTGAAAAGTAGGCAGCAGACATGACGTTTTCCCCTTTAAGTCCTAAAAATAAGGATGATGACAGTTGTCACGCCAAAGAAAATTAATAACAATTCTCTAATGTTGTCTAATTCTACTCCATATTCTCTTGTTGTCCTCAAGATGTCATTTATAGCTAGTTTTTCCATCCAGTTTTCAACCAAGTTTCATACACTGCATTTAGTTAATGTTTCTCTTTAGTCAGCTTTCTTTTAGAACTGTGCTGTCCAGTATGGTAGCCACTAGCTCATGTGGCTACTTAAAATCTAATTCAAATTAATTAAAATTAAAAGTCCACTTCCTCAGTCACACTAGCTACATTTCAAGTGCTCAATAGCCAAATGTAGCACAGCTGCTTTAATGGACAGCACAGACACAGAACATTTCCATCTTCACAGAAAGTTCTATTAGACAGGACTGTTCTAGAATTTTCCCTCCTAATTTTTTTCTGGGATATTGACTTTCCTCAGAGGAAAATCATTATGGTTTAGAGCAAGGTCTCTCCGCCTCAGCACTACTGACTTTGCTGTAGGGGCTGCCCTGTGTCTTACAGGGTGTTCAGCAGCAGCACTAGATGTCACATCACGAGGAGCTCCCCAGTTGTGACAACTGAAAATGTCTCAAGATCTTTCCAAATTGTCCCTTGTTGGGGAAATCATGCCTGGTCAAGAACCGCTAGTTTAGGATGCTTTGTTTTGTTCTGTTTTAATTAAAGGACTGAAGATACCAAAAGAGAAGAACATCATTTATTCTGTGTTGATAGTATCATGTTTAGTATATATTCAATGAAATGTGATGAGTGAGTGAATGGGTCTCGAAATGGTAGGACTGTAGATGTTAAGTAAATATGAACCACATCAGGAAAATTTACTGACCCTTTCTTCCCTCCTTTCTCTCCCCACCTTGCTAAGTTTGACCAGAACTGTTGAGTACAGGGACCAGCAATACCTCCCTTTTTGCCTGTTTGATATACAATGCATTGAGGTCGTCATAAGCAAAATAATATTAATTACCTGCCACACCAGAGATCTTAATCCAGAGTGGGAAATCGACACAATACAACAGAGTTTTCAAGGTTTCACATTTGAGAACTCAAACATAATCATTAGGCACTTACTTTCTTACTAATAATTTGTCAGCCGTAGAGAGATATCACATGATGCAGCGTTTGAGAATAGAATAGTGTGCATATGTATGTACCTATAGTTGCACCTCATTATTAATGAATTCCATATTTGCAAATTCACCCACTTGATAAAATTTATATGTAAACCCCAAAACAGTGATATTTTCAGTCATTCACAGAATATGCATGAAGCACTGAAAAATTTGAGTCACCAGAAATTTGACTTGCCCAATGCATGTGTTCCCAGCTGAAGTTGAATAAAGAATCCTCTGCCTTCTTGTTTTAACTCTCACACTGTAAACAAGTCCTTCTGTAGTTTATTTAGTGCCATTTTGAACTTTTTTCATTTGTTGTTGGTGATTTAGCTATCTAAAATACTCCCCCAAGTGCAGTGCTGAAGTGCGGTGTAATGGTGCTAAGCTCAAGAAGCCTGTGATTTGCTTTATCAGAAAAGTCGATGCATTAGATAAGCCTCATTCAGGCATGAGTTACAGTGTTACTGACCCTGAATTCAATAATATGAATGCACAAAATATATTGAAGAAGGTGTCTATAAAGAGAAAACATGCATAAAACAAGGTTAAGTATTGATCAGTTGATTAAAATGTTTTTACCAGAGGCTCATGGGAACCTAACCCTGTGTTTCCCAGGAGCAATACTTGAGTGTTTATTAATTCAGTTTTCATGGCAACTTTATAGAACATTAACTACTGCCAATAATAAGAATCAACTGTATTTACTGGTTTAAATTTAAAAATCAACTCCAAGTGCTATCTTGGTTTATTGAGTTTATTTAAGGGTAGTAATGGGCAAGGGAAAATTCATCAGCTCCTCTCCTCTTCCCTCCATTGGATGCACCAGAGGGGATGTGGGGTATGATGGCTAAAAGCTGGAGCTTCAGTCCAGGCTTGGGGTGGAGTCCTGCTCACCTGCTTATGGTTTGTGAGTCTCTGGCATGTGACTGAACTTCACTGTCTTGTGCTTTCATTAGTGATTTAGGGGGAGTAATAGTCCCTGCCTCACAGGCATGAGCACAGAGTGGTATAGTGTAGAGTAAGTGTTCAGTGAAGGTTTGTTCCTGTGGTCACTGAGGTCTTGTTTACTTATTTATTTATTTATTTGTTTTTAATTTTATTTAATTTTATTTAATTTTGTTATCATTAATCTACAACTACACGAAGAACGTTATGTTTACGAGGCTCTCCCCTAACCCAAGTCCCCCCTATAAACCCCTTTACAGTCACTGTCCATCAGCATAGCAAAATGCTATAGAATCACTACTTGTCTTCTCTGTGTTGTACAGCCCTTCCCTTTCTACCACCCCCCCTTTATGCATGCTAATCTTAATACCCCCCTTCATCTCCCCACCCCTTATCCATCCCTACCCACCCATCCTCCCCAGTCCCTTTCCTACCTGTTAGTCCATTCTTGGGTTCTGTGATTCTGCTGCTGTTTTCTTCTTTCAGTTTTTCCTTTGTTCTTGTACTCCACAGATGAGCGAAATCATTTGGTATTTCTCTTTCTCTGCTTGGCTTATTTCACTGAGCATAATACCCTCTAGCTCCATCCATGTTGCTGCAAATGGTAGGATTTGTTTTCTTCTTATGGCTGAGTAATA